CTTAGGTACACAGAGAAATTAACTATTACACAGCAATTAGTATAGAAGCAACCTACCACTCAACATTACATACTACTTACCCCTAAAAACTTTTACATTCTGTTGTTTCAATTCTTTACACAGTTCTTGACCGAGTTTTGTAACATACAAATTGGCTTTTGGTTCATTTTTGGCGACTGGTCGATAGTAAAATATATTACCCTTTTCGTCGGGTACCGGCGAGAGATTCGTGGGGTGTGTTGATTTTTTTCCATCGGAATAGGTCACAGTTAAGCCTGACGTCGTCACTATAACATTAACAAGGTTCATACTTTTACAGTATGTAAAATGGTCAGTGATTTAATTAGAAATAGCTCAACACGGTAGTTAGGGAAAAGTCGCGCAAGTAGTAGTAGTTACATGATCGACTAACAGTTGATAGTTGATTGGTTATTAACAAGATGCCGGGTAATAATCCTCGACTAACCTGAAGATCCTAAAAAACGCGTCGCGCCAATTATTTGAAAGTGCGTAGACAAGCAGATAAAATTTGAACATGGGTTTAAGGATAGTTAGTTACTATATGTAAAATCAATTTTCAGACGCTTTATGCTATAATGTAAGGCTGAAGACGCTTTTATGTATTTTTCTTGTCGCGTTGAGCCGATCAAAGATTATTAGTTTATGTTACCCGGTGTCTGTACTTCCTTTTTTATATATAATAAATTTGATAAATAAAAATAATACGCGTTATTCGGAACTTAAATTGTAAAAATTACCAAAGCGTCAATGTAGACAATCCAACAAGCTTTTCCTGGAATAATGCACAATTTTTCAAGGTTTAAGCCACCTTGAGGACCATTTAAAACACGAGACATCATCTGTGTAAGTTCATTATTTATATCATCGGCACCTCTTCCTGCGAATTGTTGTGATGCGAACGGAGAGCTACAAGACTTAAAGTGACTTAGGTACACAGAGAAATTAACTATTACACAGCAATTAGTATAGAAGCAACCTACCACTCAACATTACATACTACT